CCCCACACGCCGCACATCCGGCCCTTTGGACGGCCTCGTTAAGCAGGGTGCAGCGAGGGCACGCCCAACGGAGAGACGACGACGGAGCCGAAGCAAACGAAGACGAGGACGAGGACGGGGGAAGGGAAGGAGGGGGGGATTCCCGCCGGGGAGGGGGGCGACGGCCGTCCATCGGCGGCCCCCTCGTGCTCGGCAGGCCGTCCGAGAGGACCTCCGCGGCGGCCTCACCTGGGGGGCTGTTGGGCGTGGTGGCGTCGACGGGGTGGGGTCGAGGGCGCTTTCGTTGGGGCGCGCGGGATTTCGTTCGCGAGGCGGCATCCGAGCGCAACGGTCCCCTTTGCGGGGGTTGGGAGTGCTCGGAGAGGTACTGGTCAATACTGGCGGTCAGGTTTGGAACCTCAAACGTGCCCAGGCTGGCGAGAAACTCGTCAATATTGTCGGACATTTTTTTCGAGCTTCACTCTTCGTTTTTTTTTTGGAGGGGGGAGGGGGGGGGAAGTCGTTAATAAAGTTAAGTGTCTTTATTATAATTAAGTTAATAAAGACGTATTGCCAAAAATCCCAAATGTTATGTCTACTCAAATATTTCCCTTCTATTTCAGTTGGTGAATGAAGTGGATGATTCTAACGTCTAATGTGAAATTGAAATCAATCTAAAATCTTCTTACCCGAGCAAAGTAGAAGAGATGACAAAAAAAACTTTAAGTGTAGTATTCCAAGTCTAAGAGCCGTTCTGGGACGAAATTAAATCAATATAAATAAATATTCCTTTATATTCTTTTCAATGAATATATTTGACATGAGTTAGAATAAAAAGTACATCCCGAATCTTTTACACAAATGCACAAAAGGCGAGACTTTACATACTTCCAATACTCCCTCTTTTCTTTTGTTTCATCACTACATTGTAGATAATACTAATTTTATTCATACTTGCAATGAAACTGTAAGAATGAGATTTTTATTTTTAAAATGAGTTTGATAAGTAATTCTATGTTTATCGCAACAAAACTATACTGTTACCTGTATAGTTCAGTAGTCATAAAACAAAATATTTTAGATCAGTACATACTCTAAGTAATGCACAAAAAAAAAAGGAAAAAAGGAAGGTAAAAACAACCAACAACAAGAATTTTACTACGCAACATTCTTGGGTTCCCATGGTAACCCTAACTGCCGCATCTTGATAGCCAGCTCCATCAAGTAGTCAAGACACTCCACAGTACCCTTCGCCTTCTGCCATGTGGTGCCCCAGACGTACATGCCATGCCGACGCACCAACACAGCGGAGGTTTCAGGGTACTTTCTCATGCACTCTGCCATACTCGCGGTGAGGTTGGCCTCCAAATCAGTGTTCTCGATAATCGGCACCACCAGCGTGCTACGGTATCCCAAGGCCTTCTTCGTCTCGTCGTTCGAAACGCCTTTGATCATTTCAAGGTGAGAGATACGAAACTCGCTGTCGCACAACAGGCTGATCAGAACGCAGTTCTTGGAATGCGTATGGAGACACGCGCCCGCACCGCGGATGCGGTACGCGTTGAAAAAGAGCGGAGTACACTCAGAAGCCTTGAGGTTCTTAATTTTGAAGTTTTTCGGCTCTTCAACGACCTCCATCTTGTCATTCAAGACAAATATATCACCTGGCTGAATGCGTTCCTTCTGTACGCCGCTGGGCGCTACATAATACCTGTCACCCAAACGGACTGAAACACCACCGCCTGTTCCAGTAGCCCATCCTAAATGATAAAAATTAGAGCACAACTCAGGGATAAGGTTAAATGGATGCTCTGGGTGGGATTCAGAGATAATCAAGCTCATTGAAGAGGTGTTGTCGTGAACGCAAGGTGGTGATAAACGTATTTTTAATGGTTAAGATGTGAAATAAGATGTCCTTGATGTATCGTTTTTTATCAAAGGGGAAGAAGAACCTACAGAAGGTAGACAAGGCGTGATAGAAATTAGTAATAAATTTAACATGAAAAGGGTAATTAACGCGAATTGTGCAAAATCCCCAAAAAGGAATTCAACTCTCTAAATGGAACCAAGAGAGCATCCTTTAGACGGCAATATTATTCAAAAATGGATGGTGGAAATGTTTCAAGCATCTAATTAAATATATATATATATATATATAATATGAAAATAAAATCTAAGTTCCGGCTGTACTCCTGACATCAACTCAGTCTACGTGAAAAGCAACGAAAATGTTTAAAGCTTGCCTGTCCAAGTTATACACCGTTTCTCTTTACTGCCTTTAAGCTTAAGGGAAAGAAGCCAGCTCCTTACACTTATTCCCACACATGATGTGCAACTTCAAAAATTCGAGACTCGTTTCACAGAGGAGCCGATAATTGTATCCCTTACACGCGTTGCAAACCGCAGCGAGTTAGTGCTCTCCGTCAAGTGGGAACTTTTATTAGATACTGTTACAACCATCAGCATCTTCGCCCCTTTCGCGCCCAGGTAATTCTGTAATAAATACGTCAATCGGCTGTTCCGCCACGGCACCACAGATCCGCTGCGCAGTGCGCTAATACACTTCCCAAGATCCAACAGACTACGGTTGATGTTAACCGCCTCCTTGAACTGCTGCCCCTGCGCACCAGACTCGTTTACGCGCTCGCTGCCCGCCAAATCCACCAAGCAAAGCACTCCTTTGCTCTGCTGACGAATCGTCTCGTTACGGCCGTCAATTCGGAGGGTAAAGATGGAGTGGGAGCGCGAGGAGTGGTCGTTGAGCTGAGTTTTCGCCGTTCGGCGGTGCTGCGTGGCCTGGCGGTAGACCGAGCGGAAATCCTCCATGGTCGCAATCCGGCGCGTCCGTGTGTTGCGGATCACCGTCTCCCCACTTTGCTCGTGGTGGTGGATGGCGTGGTAATTCGCCGTCGATCCAGCGCCACCGGGCTCATACACGGAAGGGTTCTGCAAAAGATCCCGCACCACGTCGTTGTAGATCTCCACGACGGAGCACGACATCGTATAACGCCAACCCTCGCGTGCGAGCTCCTCCTGACGGGTGAAGATGGTGCGTAGCGCCCGCGGCGCGATCCCGTGGGTAGCATCCGACGCCATAAGCCCTTCCATGGTATAAGTTTTGCCACTACCTGTTTGCCCGTAGGCAAACACACACACATGATAGCCGTCCACGGCGCTATGCACGAGTGGCTCGACTTCCTTGTAGACGTCCTCTTGAGAGCTTCGGCCGTCAAAGACACGATCGAAGGCAAAGCACTCCGTGGAGCTATGGGTGGCGGTGGATGTGGCATTGCTCCGCGTTTGGTGCACGCAAATTGTCCGGTACGCGGGATTCTCGACATCAAAGGGTGGTGTCTGGTCTTTTTCTTCAGCATTAACCCCACTTTCCCTCTCGCGATCTATTGTCTTCCTTTTTGAAGAAGAGGATGCACTCGCACCGGCTTGAGTAGCGGAAACCGAGTATGAAAAAATATCAGTCTCCTCATTTTCTTCAGAAAAACCAGCATCACTCGCTATGTGGTTGCTTCGCACACTCAGTATATCCGCCCTACGACTGCCGCGCTGCCGTTTGGACGCTGCAGTATTTGGTGAAAGTTGCACTGACGAAGTTTCAGACGCAGCATCGCATATGGCGGTTGGCAAAGAGTCGCCTTTCACCCGACAAAACACACGAATGGACCCTTTCAGCTCCTCGCATTTTGCGTACAACTCGCGACGTACCACCTCAGTCTCCATCGCGGCTACTTCAACTTGCCGCTGAGAGAGCCTCAGCCTCTCCATCTCCATTACCATCTCCTTTGCCTCACCTGTAAGACCGTAGGCAGCATCCTGCATACGTTTCTCTTCCTCGATCAGGGTTCTAAGAGTTGCCTTTTCAGCATCTGCCGTATCTTGCGCTACATTCAGCTTGCCTTGTAGCTGCTCCACACGATCCTTTGCAATAATAATATCCTCTTGCAACGCATTCCTTTGATCCTGGAGATCCTTTTCGTCTTGCTTTAACTGCTCGATTCTCTCTAATGCGCGTTGCTTATTTGCTCGACATGTATTCTCCCGCTCTGAAAGCTGACGCATAGCCTCAACATGAAAAGCCGTAGACTCTTGCACGCACTCCTCTAAGCGCGCAATCACACCTTCATGCTCTGATAACATCTCCTCAATGGCTTTAACCGTTGTATCTAAGTCTCGAGAAAGTCCCGCCTCAATATCATCCAGTTTAACTATCTCTGCTTCCAGCATCACACGTTTTGCTTTCCAAACCGCATTGCGTGGATCCAATCCCTCCGATCCTCCCTTCGGCGCTGCCTCTGCTGCCGCGTTAGTGGTGGCTGCGGCCCCACCCCTCACTTGGCGCATTCGAGAGGACACAGTGGTATAAGCATGTGGATGGCATCGCGCAGACGACACGGAAGAGGAAACAGCTGTGCTCGATTCGCTATTCCGAGCAGAAGTAAGCCTACTGCTCGACTTAGGGCTACTGACACGGTGAGTGTCCACCCTAGAAGTACCTTCTGGTAAACTTACTGTGATCCCTTTGGAACTAGCGCTGTGTGTATGGCTAAAACCATGAATGTTGACATTCGGACGAGGCTGCAGACCAGACGATTCACCCGTCCGAGATGAATTGTCACGTTCTCGCTTCCTATGATTGAGCATCCATGAAACACGCTGACGCCCCTCCCTACACTGCCAAGACCAAATAAAAATAAAAGAGGAACTTTATGGAATGATTTGATCACGGTGTTCTATGTTATTTTCAAGAAGGAAACAAGTTCGGCGAGATAAAAGTAACTAATGCAAGAGCTTCATTTTTCGAAGGTGCTCCCACCTACTCTCAGCTGGTGAAATCTTCCTTCACTGTCGAAAAGGGGCCAAAATTCTCATATGTATTTGTTTCACATTCGTAGGACACACACACACACACACACAAAAATTAGTTTACATACAAAAAGAAAGAAATTTGTTGAATGTACAACTTTCTGGCCAATCTAATATATAGAAACCACACGAGGTCGTTTTACCAGTTGACACATCTTTACATGTTCATGACGAAGGCACTGCATCGACGGAAGAAGGGGGAAGGGTTCCTGCCCTATCAAAGAGAACCCCGTGTCGCAGACATCTGAACAACACATTCCGGGTGTGTCAGAACGTGTCCCTGCTCGAGCTGAGGTAGAGAACGACACAACATCGACAAAAGGGAGGTTCCTGTTATATTAGAGGAGACCCGGTATCACAGGCCCCTAAACACCACACTCTGGGTGTACCAGAACGTGTCACTGCTCGAACTGGGGTAGAACACCGCGGAGGAGGGCTTCTTGATCCGCTCCTTCGGGTCCACGCGAGGGTCATAGCCGTTAAGGGGGTCCTCCCAGTACTCCATGATGGTAGGCTTATCCTCCACATACCCCGGAGGCCGCCAGGGCTGCGCGATCGTGAAGTGTTGGAACTTGACTGGGGCCGGCTTCTCACGGAAGGGGACCGTCATAATGTAGCACCGAGAGGCCCCTGTCAGGAGGCTCTCGTCAAAGGTAAAGCCACGCCGGCCACCGGGCCGAAAGGGCTCAGACGGCATCCGCCGGCGCCATAGATCGCGATAAGCCCTTTCGTTGATGCGCTCCTGATCATAAAACGACGCGATATACTCAGTGCCTATGGGAGAAATAGTGAGCCCTGAACAGCCAAAAGACCCTTTCGGGGGCGGAGATGTATAGATGCCACGTGGCAGTGGCTGCTTGCGGACAGCAGGCGGCTGGCGCGTCATAGGATGCTCCGGTATGTGCGGGTAGGGCGTCTTCTGAAAACAACCAAAGTAGGAGCCCAGCCCTTCTGGACGGTGTGGTGGCGAGGAGTAAAGAAAGCCATTTGAAGTCAAATTCTTTTTGCTTTCTTGCATGGCCTGTTGTCTGCGTATCTTCTCCAGATCGCCGCCACGTTCACCGTTCCAGATGTATTTAAATTCCTTGTCAAAAAGCGCATCTGGGCCATGACCTGTTTTGGGGCGACTGACGAGGAAAGCAGTGCAATGTGCACGAAAATCGACTGCTTTTTTGGGGCGATCGCCAGTGCAAAGATAAGAAGGGATGGAAAATACCATTCCTTAATTAACACGTTTCTAAATATAGGTTATATATTCAAGAAAAGGGATAGAAAATCGACCCCCTGCGTCTTTTCCAAACACTTTTTGGATAATTCAGTGTGATGAAGTTCTTCCCTTGTAGATGATATTCCTAGTCTAGCTTTCTATTCTGATGCTACCTTGCTCAGCGTATAGACGGCTGAATTGAATCGAGGCAAAATCACATAGTATGGATAAAAATCATGTCAACTATCCATCAAGGCTTTAGACTCCATTTCATTCCATGCATAGCGCGTAAGTACTTCCCTTTCGTTTTACACCGTAAGTGAATGGTACCCTCTCAGACTATGCAGAAACTGATAAACCAAGCGTTTGTTAAGCAAATTATTCGTTCCCCCCGTGCACATTCGCAAAGACGAAGCAAGAGCTAAAAGATTAACTAAAACTAAAAGAAAAAAACAATGCATTAAAACGTAACATGAAATAGACATTCTTTTAACATGGATAAAAAAGTAAATGATCTTTCGATGAATGAATAGAGTAAAATCAAACAATTAAAGAATAGTTAATAAAGTATAGATCCACACACACACACATCATATGAGGAATTGAAAAGGTGAAGGCTAGGAGGTGGTGCGACTGCATAAATATATGAATATTTATATATGCATATCATTGATTTACCTAAATGAGTGCACCTTTTTTTTTTCGAATGTAGCAATGAAGTAGGAAGTTTTGTATAATCTTGTACTGTTTTGAATTTATCGATAATGAAAGGTCATTAAAAAGCGAATAACATGTCCTTATCCATCAAAACCTGAATATGACTGCATTACAAGCCTTTAATGATACAAATCGATGAATTCGTTTTTGCTCTACTACTTGATATTTTCCTTTCTTGAATGTGTCGACGTGTTTGGATTCACACACATGGTATTTTTCATAGCGATTGGGATCCATTTGGGGGAAGACAAAAACTGATCGCTTTGTGGTTGAATTTCCTATATTCGCTGTACATACACTCCAATGAGCCCCGCCATACAATTATCAAAACCACCCATCATCTTGATTTTCAGGAACATATCCAATACTTTATCGGTTGACATCTCATCCGATACTTTGACTAAACGCGAGCCAAAGTTGAGAAAAGAATCACTCAGATCGCCCCTTTCTTCGCCACTCTTCGGGATTCATGCCGATATGAGGAAGGTTGATCAGATGGACCTCACCGGACCTCAATATGAAATTAAAAACGTCCGTCCCCTTCACACCGTTCCGATATGTCGCGTACCACCAATAGGAGCCTGAAGCCGTCCCTCCACGACTCCTTTGCACCCGCATTTGAGATCTTTTTATCGTTTCTCTAGAGGAAGCTCACGAGCACGCCAACGTAGGTGAAATACACCGTCGAATCTCACAATAGATGCTACCTGGGAAGCTGAAAATCGACGCATCCCTCCTCGTATTATTTTTATAATCTATGATGAATCCCCCCTCAACCGTGAAAAATGATTAACTTCGAGAGAATTAAAGGGAGCAAAAAACGGATATAGACGGCTGACAATTCAGTACTAGGTGTGCCGACTTTCTTAGCATCATTTAAATCCCTGTGATACCTTACGAATAATAAATTACAATTTAATCCGCATGGTTATAACGTTTGTTTAGTTATTTAAATATTAGTACTTTTTCAGTGCCTGGATTTGTGTTGACTACGGAACTCCCGCATGCGCGAGGTATCCTTCTTCGCTTTCTTCAGCCCGCGCGCGTACTCCTCACACTCCTTCTCAGCCTCCTTCGCGGCGCGCTCGCGCGCGCGCTTTCTTGCCATTTCTTTCACCTTCGTCATCGCATCCGCGCGATCCTCAAAGGTATCGAGCAGGGCTTGACGACGCAGCTCTCGCGGCTCGGGCGCTACCGTCGTCGCCCCACGGATGCGTTCCTGCAGCTCATTCGTCGGTTTGATCGGAATAAACTCCTCCTTCATGTCGTACGGCAGCTGCATCTTCATATTTCGTGAGAGCAGCACGTTCTGGGCGTTGAGGTCCTCACCCTCCTCGACGACGCGGTGGCGGCGTTTGATCTCGCGGTATTCGGAATCCTTGTTCGTCTTGAGGGGAACGCCGTAATCCCAGCGCAGCTCCCGCATCGTGCGCATGCCCACCCAGTTTGGATCGACGAGATTCCGCTGAATCGAGCAGTACTTCGGCGGCTCCACCCGCTTCCACGCGCGAATAAAAACGATATCGGAGGGGAAAATCTTATCCTCAAAGGTCGCCCGCACCATCCCTTGTTTGCCCTTCGGGGCGGATTTGATAATCCCACGGACGCCGGAAACGGCCTTCAGCTTCGCGCCGACGAACTTCGTCGCCTCCATCTCACTCCCGAACATCCCTTTAATGAAGACGGTCGTCTTCTCGATCTTCGCGGGGGTTCCCGTCAGCTTCAGCTTCTTCGTAATCTCCGAGGTATCATCGTTGCCGACGGTGTAGCCGGAGCAGGAAATGCGAAAGTTCGGCGTACGCTGATCGCGTACGGGAATGGCTAAAAACCCGGTGTTCGGCGGCACCACCGGCGCGTAAAAAGCCGCCTCACAATGCATATGAAGAGGGGTATATTTGAGGTAGCGATGCCGCCCGTTGGGATCCTCCGAGGCGAAGATCGGCTGCGTCTGGAAGCGGCGCCAACCCATCGAAATCAGCAACGGATCCTGCGCTTTGAGGATTTTAGGGTACCAACGGTGGCGCTTGAGCTTCGCACGGACGATGCGAAATTCATCCTCGCCGGGGTTCAAGCCCCCCGCCAGAAGGGGTAGACAAGGATCGAACAGGTTCACAAACTCCACCGGAATGTTCTCGAGAACAAAACGCACATACAACCCACTGAAGTAGCCAACGAGCTGAATTTTCTTCTCAAGATCGTCGCCGAACTGTTTGAGGGTCCCGCTTATCAGCTCCTTTCGCTCCTCCTCCCTGCGGTTGAGTTGATGATAATAGCTGAAGGTCATGTTCTTCTTCGACGACGACCCCACGGCGCCCCCGGTGAGATCGTATTCCTCGTCAAAGACCTTCTTCTTCTCCATCTTCTTTTGCATCAAACGCTCCTGCTCAGGGGTGAGTTTCGCGCCGCGCATCACTAATGCACTCTCGTCGTCCTCCTCGCCGGTGGCGCGCGCATTTCGCCTCGTCTGGCGATCCTTTTCGTTGTAAAATTGAATCCCCTCGTCGTCACCGTTGGTAGTCGAATCCTTCGAAGGGCCCCCCCCGGTCGTGGATTCCCGATTCAAAAAGCTCACGACGAGCGCATCCAGAGCTTCATCACCTCCAGACCCGGCGCCTTTCCCGGACTCCTCCACATGGGAGCCGTCGTCGGCGAGAATATCGTAATCATCCTCGCCATTGTTGCCCGATTTGGATCCCTTTTTCCCCTTGTTGCCGGGCGCGCGAGCCCCATAGGTGGGGTCCGAATCCTTGGAAAAAGCCCCCCACGCGAAGGATTCTTTACTTGAGTACTTCACGCCCGCAAGTGCGTCGGATCCCTTGCGGGCCCCCCTATTGTTCGGCGCCTGAGCCTCCTCCTCCTCCTCCTCGCCCTCCTCCCCGGAATCGTCGGGAAAACGAATCTTCTTGGTTTTTGAAAGCGGCTTCTCACCGCGCATTTGCGCCTCAAACTCGCTATCCTCGCTTTCGTAGCCTTTGCTGTTCACCTCGTCATCTTCGTCGTCGTCGTCGTCCGCCTCGCCGGATTTCCAGTTCCCGGTAACGAAGAGATCCTTGAGCTCGCGTAATCGCCGATTGGAGGCCTCGCTCGCCTCATCAAACCACCCATACACGGGGTGAAGAATCCGAACGGAATCGGGATCGTCAAACCGGCGCGGTTCCATCCCTCCCACCGCCTCCTGTTCCTTCGCGCTCGCCTCGCTTGGGGTATCGGATTGGCCGTATTCATCTAAACTGCCCTCCCCCCCTTTCACGCCTTGAGAGGGGTCGGAAAAGGAGTCGGCATGGGTCCTTCCGCGAAGGCGATCCGCGTCGGGAAGGCTCCCCGCCTCGCTGCTATTGTCCTCCTCGTCGTCGTCGTCGTCGGGATCGGAGGGCAAGCGGACCTCCCCCATCGCCAACTCCATCGTTTCCTCATCCCGAAACACCACGGGGCGACGGACGACGCTTAAAGGGGTCTTCCGCGCATCCATCGGCTCCGCGCGTTGGAGCTCGCGGAGGAGCTCCAACCCCTCCCCACCCCGCTCAATCAACGCGCGTTCGGCATCCTCGTGGACGTAGATGGCGTCGTTGTCGTAGAGAATCCCCCCGACATCGCAAAACGGGGCGTGGATTTTCCTTTCCTTCTGGCTTAAATGCCGCGCCCGGTGGGCTTTGGACTTCCCGGACTTCCGCGTTTCCAACTCACACGGGTCGTTTTGATGCGAGAGGTGATGAATCGGAAAGTCGCCGAGGCCCGGGAGGTGCACGAGCTGCGCCTCGCGCATCGGGCGACCTCGGGTGTAGCCATAAAACGCAATCGTCCGATCCCCTCCCGGGTTCCGCGCGATCTGATCGGGATCCGTGAGATCCTCAAATCGATCAATCAACACACAGCTGTGGGTGTTTCGCCAGGACTGCACCTTCGGCTCGACGGAAATCAACAACCTATGCAAATTCAGCACATCCGACGGGCGATACATCCCGCGAATCATCGGCGCCAAACACAACAACTTCGCCCCGGCCGCGACCTCATGCCAAAAGCGATGGCGAAGAAACTTCTTCCGCTTTTTAAGCGCCTTCCCGGTTTTCAGCTGATCCAGATGCGATACGACGCCGAACATTCGTGGAAAGCCATGCACCTGCGCGATCGTCAGGAACTCGAACGTTTCCATCTCAAACCCGTAACTCCCGTCGACCATCAGCAGCACGAGGTCGGCGATCTTGGCGAGATCGCACATCGCATCCAGGCGATTCGGGCATTCCACGAACGTCAGCCGTCGACCTCGCCCCGCGACGACCGTGATCGGACCCCGCACCTGTTGCAACCCCCTCCCTGCGTAAAATCGCACGAGGGAGCGAATCAGCGTCGTCTTGCCCGCCCCTGGGGGGCCTACCACCACCACGAGCAACGGGGGCTCCTCCTGGACGACCCCGCGGAGGGTTTTGTCGACCTCCGGGAGGTGCAACGCGGCCTCGCGTTTTTCCGCGCTGCGAAGGAGTTTTTGCGCCTTTCGTCCACCCGCGGCGGGGCCTTGGAAGGCGCGTGGGTTGCTCCCACGATTCGGCTCCGTGTCGAGACCGGCGCGGCGCTTTCGCAGCCCCTCCCGCGCGGCCGCCTTGTTGCCGACGAGTTTGGCTTTGTGGGCTTTGTTCACCTGAGCCCCTTCCTCCTGCATCGCGCGAGGATGATGGGGAAAAAATGGGGGTAAAAAAAGAGAGAAGAAGAGCTATTCTATGCTCCTTCAATTCCAACTAATATATATATATATATATATTCATAGCGATTATGTGAGTTGGGAAAAAAAAGAAGAGGAGATGAGTCGGAGATGTTTTCAATGTAAATACTCATCAGCTTGGGGATTAGATCGAGCAGTGGAGCGCACAGCAGCGTGACTTTTCCAACGTCGACGGTTCCGTTTGATAAAGATTAACGTCACTTCTTCCTTTCTGGGAGTCTATGTCCATGTGATATCAGGGAAACTATATGGGCTGACATATATAGATGTATAAATAAAAAGGCAATCAACATAATTGTTATAAGTAGGGATGCCTACACAGTTTGCGGTTATTCTCAGCTCACATAAAGCATCAAATCTCACAAAAGCGCCGCCTTGGGATCGTCAAACTCTCGCTTCCCGTAGAGCACCATATACGATTTCACGAAGTTCTCATCAAAGAGGCTTGCGGCGGGATCTTGATCCCACAAATGATACTTCAAGTTACGCCAAGTCCCACGGCTAAAGGGATTTCGCTTAGCGGCGTAGACATTCTGAATTCGCTCCCGCGTGGTCGACTCGAAAGCAAATCCAAGCCACATAGAAACCACCACAGCTCCGACTGTTAAGCTGGACACCCCGAACATCAGTAACAACACGCATGAAAAAAACAGCCCTTCAAGCGATAGCTTCTCGGTATGCATATACAACGCATCTATCATCGATATCAACACGGTGATGATCACACACGAGACCGACATGACAAAAAGCATAAAAACGAACGCGTTTCGTCGTCCGACGCAGATCCCGAGCACCCCACAATGATGATCGTGCTCGTAGCAACAGAGCCCGCAGTGGTAGCAATGCGCGGCCCGCACCGGGCGATACATCTCGCAGGTGGAGCACCACTTTCGCTCCATCGCGACCCCGTTCACCGTCTCCCATTTGCTCTCTCGTTTATTCGCTTCCAACTCCTTCAACGAAAGCTCGTGATCTCGCCGGGTGCGGTGGGATGGGCTGCCTTCCGCCGCCATATACCCCGGGCGGACGTACCCCGGATCGGCAAACAAAACCCGCAGCGCGAAGAAGAAGCAGCCAACCGCGCCGAGAAGCACCCCATTCCGGATTTGATAAAGCCACCCCTCATCCACCACCGCACAAAACCAGAGGTACGAGGCGAACAGAAAAAGCGAAAACACAAGCGGCATCGCCGAGGAAGTCGTTGTGGTCGGGGCGGGAATATAAACATACCCTTTGAATGGGATGTATTTGCGAAAAAGACGGACATGGCCGATCGTCGCGTAGGGTTTGCGGCCAAACAAAAGGTACTCCACCGCCCAAACCACGGGGAAGAGAAAGAAGAATTTGTTCGAAAATTTCTGTATGCGCTTAGAACTAAACGCCTGCGCCGATTCCTCCGTCATCCGCTCCGGCATCTCTTTGCGGATTTCCTGATCGACGTTTTGGATGAGAACGCACACCTGCGCTGCCGCCGAGAGCCCGCCCGATTCCTCGACTTCCGGGGAGTAACACACCACGGCGCTGTGTTCGTGAGGTAAATATCCCTCATCGCTGGGGGGAAGTGGAGAATGCGGGTTTTCGAGGTTGATTTTTTCCCTGCACGCGTGGCATTCGATGCCATACCGTTTGACATTATCGCAGACAAAGCTAACAGTGGTGCAGCATGACGGGCACACTACACTGTAGGTCTGCCCTACAATGGGAACTCTAGGCGTTCCCATCACGTACAGAATTAAAAAATATACAAGTCAAATCTTTGCGCAAATAACGGGAGAAGGGTTTTTTTTGCCGCGAATGAAGTTCTGGAAAAGGGGGTTAACAAAAAGGATAAAGGAAAAGAAATATAATTAACTAAAGTTAGAAACCTCACAAAAGCGTTCATTTTTCCATGAAATAAAGCGGTGGCAAAATAATTGTCTTCTTATTTTCATCATTTGTATGGAATGGCTAGCCCAACTGATACCTCCCAAGATTCCCATTTACGGGGAAAATTAAAGTCTAATGGGATGTGTATTTGCCTTTTTTTCCATTCTATTTTGCTCTTGGCCTTGCAACTTCATTCTTACTTCTCGTTGCTCTTATCATACCGTCACGTTTCAAGTTCCTATATATTTCACAACTTGTCAACATTTAGTTTGGCCGATGCTGATTCGCGGCACACTGAACCCTTTATAAAGTGGATTTCTAGGCCAATGACTTGGATGCGCTGCGCGCCGTATAACCTCAGCATTGGCAAACATTTAGAAATATACAACTGATTATATGTAAATGTTACACACCTTTATATATATATAACTATATATATATATATATTTAGTTATATTTAACATCTCTAAAATCGAACCACATCCGCGTGGGTAGTGGCGCGTTTCTTGATCTCCGCGATGGCCTTTTGCATCGCGTCCGGTTGTACGACAAAGAACAGCGAAAGGGGGATCTCCTGCGCGGGTTGCTCGCTATACTGCGGGCGGCAGCGATACACCCACGTCGCGACCCGCTGATCGCGATGCTCGAACAAAACTTGATCCTCCTCCCGCCAGAAGATGTACTGCGCGAGATCAAAGGCCGAGGACGAATCCGAACGAGCCTCCCGTCCTTTTCCCTTCCGTGATTCGTCAGCGGCGGAGGGTTTCGCAGCCTTCTCGCGCGCGTTCTCTTTGGCGCGTTGGATCTTCGCCAACACCGCGAATCCGCGGGTTTTCACGTTCGACTTCGGCGAGGAAGGTGTTTCCCCTACACGGCGGACGAGATCCGCGAGGATCTCCACCGTGAGCTCGAGCGGCACGTTGCGAACGTACTCCATCACGAGCATCCAACACTTTGCCATGGTTTCCCCCGTGGAAAGCAACAGATCAAGTGGGGGAATACCGGGGAAAAGGGTTCGCCAGACCGCGCTTTTGAGAATCTCACAGAGCGGTTTGAACGCCGCGGGATGGGAACGAAGCGCCTGAGGGAGATCCAGCGCAGAAGCCAGGCCGTACACCTCCTCCTCCTCCTCCTCTCCCTCCTTTTTCGCACCCTCGCCCGCATCGTCGTCCGAATCGTTGAGTTTAACAATGCAAGTGAGTGGATTCTCCGCAAGTGCCGCACCGAACGCATCACGATCGATCTCGTTCATCTTATCCAGGCAGAACTGATCCATCAGATGCATCACGGCATCGATCTGGCGAGCCTCCATATCGTAGACGCCGAAATCCACATTCACGTGATCCTGATCCTCGCCGCTCTCACTTCCCGACGCATCCGGATCCGCATCCTTTCCTTCCGCGCTCTCACTTTCAAAATCCCCTTCCCCTATGCTGCTATCATATTCGTCAAAAAGCGAGCTTTCTTCGTCGTCGACGAGATCAGAAGCGTCGTCGTCGTGTTGGTTGCCGTCATCGCCCACCTCGTTCGAGTCGTAATCCATGCAGGAATCGCTCGTCGCGCTCTCGCTGCTTAACTTCCGTTTCGATGGAGACCGGATCGAATCGCTCATATCATCCTCGTCGGAGCTATCACGATGGGAAGACAAAAGGTGGCGATCACGCGTGGAGGGCGGCGGCGGTGTTGTGGATTTCGCCTTCGCGGAGCGCCGCTCCTGCGGGGAGGAAGAAAAGTTATCTTCCCGAGGTGGGAGCTTAGCAGGGAGTTCAAGGCTCCCCAACGGCTCCGGCTGACGATGGCGCTTTGGCATTGGATAGGAAACCCGGTCGAAGATGCCCACTTTTTGGATTTGGTTAAAGTCTTTGCTACGCTCTTACTAAATAACCGCGTCTTCGCATGCTAGATTCAATAAACTAAATTTAAAACCAACAAGAAAAAGGAGAAAAATGATAATAATTTTTTTTGTGTGTGTCAAGTTCATTCAACTCAGAACATCACAGATCGACGGAATAAGAAAGAATGATGAAGGGGAAAGAGAAGTGGGATGCAATCTTTTTAGCGTTTCCAACGTACCTTATGGTATCTATCAAAAAAAGTGTGAGTTTTCGCAATAACAATAATTCTCGTACCACATTTTTTCTACTCCTTTTGGGTACAAAAAGTATGAATGCGTTATTATCAGTGCTGTCGAAATTGCGTTTTTATCACCATTACAAATAGCCATTTACACTTTCCTGATTTTTCTATGCGATACAGTGTGCCAATCGAAAGCAAGAAAGCATATAAAAAATAAAGATATTGAGTTTTTTTAAAAGAAGGTAGTCGAACACCTACAATCGCACACTCCCCCATACCCCACGAAAAAACAACATCGACACTTTTTCAATTTTAAAACCAATACATTTATCCAACATAATCAAATCTTTCCTAAAAGCTTCCCTATCGAACTCTGACTTCAACGTTAGCATAGCCATCTTACTTTTTTGATTACCAATCGTCATCCATTCGTTTGCGGAGGATCGTTATGTTCGACTTTCCACCCGATTCGCTGCCGGCGATTTGGCTAAGAAGCTCCCGCACGACAGTATCGCTCACCGGCGGCTGTAGCTTCCCCTGCTGAACGGCCTTGATAATGTGGAGCTCAACAGATTCCGCGCGCTCCGCCTTCACTTGCGCAACCCGCTTCAACCGCTCACGCCCCTCCGCGGAAACGAAGCTGCGTAGCATATTCTCCTTCTGCTCCTCAAAAGCCTCGCGCTTTTCCTGTTGAGCCTGCTGCTTCGCCATCATCTGTTGCGCCTGCTCATCGCTAATAGGTACACGCGACATCCGGTATTCCCGTTAAACTAATATTTAAAAAGAATAATATGGTTTAAAAGAAAAACGTTATGCTACAAAAGACAGTCGAGCGAGGGAAACGAGAAATTCAATATTGATACATCAAAGGTTAAAGTTAGTGAATTCCTAGACAGATAAAAATGATTAACGAAAAGGATGGAGAAGGAAAATTGAAACAAAAAAAATTATCCCGAAGCGTGTGTAGTGGTGAAGTACAGCACAACGTACGACTTGCATACCTTTGAGTTACGAAGCTCTATATACCTCAGCGCTTGGAGAAACAAATCCGAATGAAACAAAAGTGCTTGTTTTTATGCATGGATGGTGAAAAAAATAGAAAAAATAGCCATCATAACAATACGTATTATACATTTGTTTGATTCGTAATTAAAAAATATTGCCGTTCAATTGCTCGACAAAATTAATCTGATGTAGTTTCATAGTCCTTAAATGATACCTCACAACAACAGCTTAGAAGAATAAATGGGTGGAAAAAAACGACACTCATGTATTTTATTCAAGAAGAAAAGGGATTCAATCAGCCCTCCTCAAGAAAAAAAATGAGTGAGAACAAAGTTTAGATAGGCGATAGCAAAGAAAACTTAGAGGTATGCGGTAAAAATGCACTAGAAAACGACGCCGCACAAAATTGCTTTAAATAGCATCGACCCATCGACATTAAATTCCATAGCTCCCTAATATAATAATAAAAAACATTAGGGTATCCGTGATGGGGGAAGATCGAAACCCACAAATATTAGCGAAACTTCATAATGTATTTTGTTAAGGGCAATATGGGTGCCCTCAAAGTGCTCACCAGCCTCCGAGACCGTGTGAAGGCATATAAGAGATAACATAAAATCATCACCACCCTCCTCCATACGCTTTCCCCACGGTGTGAGTTACTAGGAAAAAATACAGCACATGATTTCACCTGCCAAGGAGTGACGTAAGCAAAATACTAACAATTAGCGCTTATGAGAATGATAAAGGTTGATATGAGATGAAATTGAATTGACTAAAAACGGATGAAATCGCCGGGTAGATCATTGTCATCGCTTTCTTTATGATCATCTGAGAACGAACTCCGTGATGAAATTTCTCATTGCAAGGGGGAAATGCCGTTTTTAAGAGTGTCAGTGCAGTTCTTCGAAACAGTATCATTCATTTGGAATCATCAAATAGCCTATTCTATTTTTTTCTACGACGGCATGAATAAATTAAAACGCTACCTATATTCTTTGAAAGGGAAAATGAAGTGAGAAGTAAAACATAAAGAGAAAGTATAGACCACCAACTGCATCACAGAATCAAATCATGGAAGGATAAATACTAAAGCGCATTTCTATATCGATTTCTGATGTGTGCTACACTCCGAATTGTCAGATAAATATTTAGTATTTAAAAAAATTGTAAATTAATATATATATACATATATATATATATATATATGTATGCGTATACACATATATATATACAAAGAGAGGAGATCGACTTTCCAAATAATATGAGAAATTTCTTGTTAAAAAATAATAATCAATCCAGAAGCTAAACTCTTATAAGAACAAAACTAAACCGAAAAAAACGGGGAACCCCCATCAAGAAACCCAGAATCCCACCCCCTAATTGATCAATCCATCGAAGGGACCAACGCACTCGGGGGTTTATAGGTATAATACTTGTACAACGGGTACACAAGCCCGACGACAAGGATGAAGGTCGTGACCCCGACGATCCAGAAGAACGGCGTCAGCGTTTCCCCACTTCGCCAGGGCACCATGATGTTGCACGTCCACACACTCGGGATGAGGGCTGTCGGGAAGAGCACCAGGGACATCTCCGTCTGCACGTTGTTAATATAGTCCAGGACGTTGCACCGGGACACGAGCCGTGCGGCGACCCCACTGACGAGGTTCAGGCTCGTGACATTCACCGTGTCCCGCGTCCGGTGCAGCTTCTCAATCGCGGCCTGAAGAAGGGTGAGGGCGGTCTGGTAGCCCTCCATCGCGGCCTCCGTGTGACACGCGAGGGGTTCCAGCCGGACCGGCAACAGCAGCTGCTTTAAAATGCGCTCTTTCAGCAGAAGACAACGGTGCAGCCGCGCAACCCGGCCGCGTGTCACGCGGATTCGCTTCATCAGGTCCACATGGTCCTCCCGGGACGGGCTGATCTGCATCACCAGCTCGTTGAGGTACTCCGTGCTGAGAATGATGGCGGGGGTCAGGCCCTGCACGCCCTTGATCGTGTTCACCACCACGGTGCTGAAGAGGGAGGAGAGCTGGAGGCCGCCTTTTTCGGACGCGACGGACATGCACCCCATCACACCTGCGTAGAGGTCCTCCTCACCGGCGAAATCCCCCACCCGCAACGTTAACAGGACATTTTCAAACATTATAAAAACAATCTTCGCTGAGGAGTTCTCCTCCTCCGCAAGATTCGGCGAGGTGAGAAGGAGATAGAGGTAGCCATGGGAAGGGTAGTACTCCAAGCGGTCGATGTCCGGAATGGTTGAAATTTTTTCACGCGTTAGCGCATGTATAGGCAGCCATGAGATTAGCTCCTCACGCTCTGAGATGTTTGGATCCTTCAAATCCACCCACACAAAATCCCGCGCAGGCTGCTCTGACGGAGCTTCGCTTTTAGTTATCCCCGAATCTAACCATGTCATTCGATGCTTAGTCACCCCTTTGGCAGCATTCGTGCCATCGCAATTCAAAAAATTGGAAAGAAAAGGCAAAGGCTGAAGTCTTTGCTTAAGTTGGCGAAGATCCGCTGGATGTGTAAACTCCGGCTTTACAGGAGGGTGAGGTGAGGAGGCATTATGGTGTTGGGAAATCAACAAACTGATGTGTCGGCTTAACATCGTAGCTTGTAGCTGTTATCGTCAACGTTTCAAATTGTTCTCGACGTCTTCTTTGCTCAATCAACAAAATTTTAAGCAAATGCACAATAAGGCGTGTATACGACTAAAACAAATGAAATACTTGCGCCAGAGTTGTGATGTGCTTCAACACACTTTTTATAAGAAATTATGAATTATTATTACTTTTTTTAATGAAATATTGTGTAATTCAAAATGAGCAAATTGATCGTATTCGTGGGAAATAATCTAAACAACTGTACGCGCATAAAGACTGTTGCTTACAAGATGCAGTGAACTAGAAAAAAATATGGCTAAATTTTTGCATGCTAATACTAATAATAATGCTATAAAAATCAAATAGTAAAGAAAATAAATGAAATGAAAGGCGACCATATCTCTAACATATATTATAGAGCAAAAAGGGTATTCAGTGAATAAAGCTCACTAGTCACATTAAACACTTCTTAGAGGTTTATAATCTGATTAGCCTCAGCTGCTGAGAAACAGCAAAACCTGAGACCTGCGGCAATTTTTGAATATGAATCTTGATTTCACGATAGTGCTTCACTTATAGCGCGATGTTCTTTTCTTCACAATCTCAATAGAACTCTGACGGCGATTTTTAGCCAGCCCCTACTACCTATGAAATGACGTAGGCCTCCCCTGTACCCTTTTATTTGTTCGATTTGTTACAATAATAATAATGAAAAGGGAGAGAGAACATCTAGCAGGCTACTCAGTAATACCAAGATTCTTCAAAATACGCGCCACCACGGACTTTTCCTCCAGAGTTCTGTAATGATCTAACTTCATAAGAAGGCTCGCATGGCCTTTCGCTACTTTGCGTAGTTCCACCGTGTAGTGCATGATGTTGCGTAGCGCCACAATCGCCTTCACAGAACAGCCGTCATCCTGCACGTCCACGGTTACTGCACGATGTTCATTCAGCGAGCTCACCAAACTCCCCAAATACTTTGCATCCGACAAATGAACCTCCAGCTCGATCATCGGCTGCAAAATAACGAGATCCGTCTTCGGGATGGTGGAAAGGAGGTTCAAAACAGCCCCGCGTGCCGCTTCGGTGAGAAGCCCTTCTTGAAATCGCATTCCGCCCTCTCCTCCTACTTTGCGGAGCGCCGTCAACACCACCTCAAAGCCGTGCATTGGTGACCCCATAAGCGGGCCGAGTCGCGCGCAATCGGTCACCGCTGCGCGAAAACAACGCTCCAACATCAATAAGTCCGCCCGCAATCCACGTGCGTCATGTGCCTGCGACCCCCGCCGCGGACGCTCAAGCTTCCCTTCCTCATGACCCTGAAAACCACCAGTCCCTGCTCCTCCTACCATGAACGCCGCGGTAAACATTTCCCTAAAGGCGTCGTCAATCCGAAACCGCGGGATGGTGGTGGCGGCGACCGTGCGTTCCCCCCCTTCTTCCCCATCCCCCGCCTCCTCCTCCCACAACGGAATGAGCTCGAGCACGCACTCGAGATAGGCCGCCTCCTTCGCCCTCCCGACGACGCGCTGCGGGGTCGACCGCTGGCGGACCCCCTCGCGGTACTCCACCCGCGCCCGAAGCAGCCGGCAGCTCAGCTGGTGCTCCCCTGCGAGCCGGGAGCGGAGCACCTCAAGATGCAACACCCCCATCCCGCGCACGACGACGTGGCCGAGGTCGTCCCGCCCGACGGCGAGGCTCGGGTCCTCCCGGGCGAGTTCGCGCAGGGCGGCCTCCAGCCGTGGCATCTCCCGCGCCGTGGCGGCCTCGACCCCATAGGAG